TTAGGGAGCAATGGAAACGTGTTTTCTTTTTCTGTTCAACGAAATCACATTAGATATAATTACCTAACTATGGCATTCAGCCAATACCTTTTATATTAAAGGTGAGAGTAGCCATATGTGAGTTATATGGATTAAGTTAGTAGGTCGATGCATGGCGTATGCAGATGAGTTGATTATATTAGCAAAATCAAAGAAAGAACTCAAGAGCTGCAAATAAATCAAGAAAACACTAAATATTTGGTGTTTCGTGAAACTGCAAATATTGCTGAAAATCTGATAGCAAAAATGATAGAGGAAAATCATTACATTTTGTATAAAGTAAATGTTGAATGTAACGCTAAAATACGCTCTCTATTTAACATGTCATCTGTCAATATCTATGTCACTCTCCATATGAACGATGGCTCTTAATATGACGATAAAAAAAATGTGTAAAATGTATTTGAAAACATCCAATAAAAATATAAACGTAAACACAGTGATTTTATTATAAGATGATTGATAAAAGATGGAAGGACGGTTTTAAATATAAAACATAAAAGTAAATAAATATATTTATTTATTTCGAAGTACTAGTACTAATATCAAATAATCCATAAAGCATAAGAAATAAACTCAAGAATTGCAAAAAGCAATAGAATATTTGTAATTCTAAGGTCACTGATAAAATCAAAACACTTTTCTAGAAAGATGCAGATAAGAATTTATAACAACATTATAAAACTCACATTACATACGAGTGAAATGAAACGTTGACTGAAACAAACAAAAATAGAAGAAAAAAACTGGAACGATGGGAATTCAAAAAGCTTAGAGCACTTGAAGGTTTTAAAAGCACAAACTGATGTTATTTATACAGACTTTTCGTCTTTTAGCTTTTGGATTATCTCCCTCTCTAATTGCCTCGGACTTGTCACTAAATCCGGATAAATGTACAGTTATGTCCTACAGTTTAAAAAGGAATATCCTAATTTTTGATTATTGAGCGAGAGTAAAAATACACATGCCACTGCCACATAGAAAGATTAGATTAAAGAAGAATGACGTAATTTGTGTTCCAATGACAGTTTACTTCTATCAAAAACAAACTATTTTGTCATTGAACCTGACTTACATTTTGTTTGTAAGTAAATAAGTAGTTAAAAGGTAAGTAACCAAATTATATTATTAATGTTTAAATGAATACAATCTTGAAAATAATAGAAATAAAATGTAAATGAATACATATTCTATAATCTCTTTTTTTGCCACTGTCATTCGATATTGAAACAACAATTACGTCATCACTAATATAGCGTATTAAGTTTCCAAACAATGCTTTACTCGAACAAACACATTTTCACATAACTGACTTATAGCGTCATAGGACCGTAGTTCTTATACTCAAATGGTTTCTATTACTGCAGTGAATAACCTCTCAACGTTTGATTCCATAGTTCTGATTCATCCAGTATAATGTATGTACTAAACATAATATATGACAGAATTAGTTTTCCTCGATTAGTCTCGTACAATAAGTAATTAACTAACTTTTCCAAAAGAATGAGTTGGTGTATGTCTCTTGCATTCTCAAAAATAAAACAGTTTAACTAATCATTCTTACTAAATATGACTTTCTTCTAAATAGCGTCTTGGATGCCAGGGTTGGTTTAAGTAATTAATGGCTTATTGTACAGTAGTGGCACTTATGATGTTTGAATAGTTGTCGATGGAAGTTTTATTTTCAAACATTAATGAAACAAAAAAATTCGGTTTCAAAATAAATGGCATAGGATTTGTATTATTTTTAAAATAGTATTTTAGTTAAACAGTTATAACAAACAATAAGTTAAAATATAATGTAATGGTACAAAAGGTTTAAAAAGTATGTTTATAAAGAAATTTATGGAATGAATTCATTAATTTCTTTACGATAAAAATGATTTTACATTTGTGAATAAATTCATGAAGTTTTGTGTCATTTTCAGTGCTTTTATTTCATAAATAACTTTTGATTTTACCTAAATTTAGGAAAAACAAAAACCCCCACCTTTTTTTAGCAAAGAGACGAATTGTCAAATATAAAATTCATAGCCAGAAATCCAACTCCCTGGAGCCCATATGGTCAAGTAACACATTACTTGAAAGGTAATTTTATGGAGAATTCAGAAATATGACCATTCATTATGCGTTACTTTTGATTTTAATGCCCTCTCTTTATCGGGATAAAAACTGTTCAGTATTGTAAGTTGAGACACTTCATTTGAAAGCTAGTATTAGTAATTTAATGAACAATATAACAAAACAATTTAATGAAACACGAACTTAAATAATTTAAAAATCGTGCAGGTCTCTAACGTCAATAAATAAAAAATTTAATCACAATTAACTAAAATAACAAATTTAAGCTGCCATTAAAACCCTAATATAGCTTTCAAATTAAGTGTCACATTTTACAATACATTTTTTATCCCGCTAGAGGGCGCTAAAATCAAAAGTAACGCAATGGATAGTCATATTGCTAATTCTTCATAAAATTATCTTTTAAATGTGTTACTTGACCATACATATGTCATTTAAAAAAAATAGAGTTTCTGTCGGGGTCTAAAGGGTTATATTTCTGGGTATGAATAATTTTATATGACAATTCATGCCCTTGCCATTGAAAGGTGGCGTGTTTTTTGTTTTTCTTAAATTTGCGTAAAATCAAAAGTAATTTCTATTGGCTGGTTTTTAAATGAAAGCAATGTATATCAGTTACAAGTACACCAACACAACAATTGTAAATAAATGAGTTTGTAAATATTGTTTTCAAAATCACTACAGAAAATCACTCTCATTGATTGACATTAATAAGCATAAATTATATACTTTAAAATTGTTTTATATTATTTTATGTTTAGCAGCTTTAATTAAGCGCCAATTGCATCTAACTTATGTAGTACCTAATGTAAAAAATGTATTGGATGTACATTTTTAATTTGACTTAAAGTCACATAACATTAGTAAACCTAGAAGCTTCGGCAACTTCGCACAATGAAACAACTTTTGCGTACGGAACTGCTCGAATTGAAACGAGTTACTACGAACGACCTTTAAATTGGTATGGTCATCTATCTCGCTCTTTATATTGATGTTCTTTGTCAACTTTCGGATTTGTTGTGAGTAATTTGTGAATGTGAAATAATAGATATGAGAATATTAAAAAACTGATTTTTCTATACATAAGTTCTCTATCTACAATAATCTATATTATCAACGCACAGCTCAAACCCTTCAACCTACAATATTTATTCAATCTCATAAGACTAGATTCGAGGAACCTTTTAGCTAAAAGGCTTATATCAAATCGATAAAAAATATTGTTATTTAGGGAGTTTAGTGTCCTACTAATGCATATGTCCACTCCAACCTGCACTGACATTTAGAATTTGAAATTTACTCCTGCCGCGTTGCCATATACGTCCATTCTTATTTTGACAATTGTTTTTTATCTCTTATTTTTGAGGACAAGGAAAATATGTGTTTCACAAAAAGAAATAATTCAAAATAATCTAAAATTAAAGGATATTTTAATTAATCTCTAAAACTTTTCCTTGCTTTTGGAATGTTTGACAGCATCTTCGATGAGTCAAATTTATATTTTGTTACCTAAGAGGCTGTTGATTTCACCACAATCACTTGAATTTATTTAACAGAAGGTATCTGTTCTTAATTAAAAATCTTAAAAAAGAATTCAACTTGAAAAAAATTAAAAAAATTTGGTTTATGTCTGTTAAATAACTTAAAGAAAATTTCAAGGTTTCAATTATAATATCCATTAAAATGTCAACATTAAAAATGTATTTTATTTATACTCGTCTAAGTAGTTTCTAATTCAGTTTCTCTCATAAACAATCCGGAGTTCATCAAATTTTAATAAATATTGCAACTCAAAATAGCTATAATATTATGTAATATATAATACAGGGTGTGGCGATCTTCATTATTCTATTAAAAATATTCTCCTTGAAATACAACTTTCCAAAGAAAATTAAAATAAAAGTTATCTTCACTTATACAGTATCTTCTGAAATATTTTTTTAAAAAATGTGACGTAGGCCCTATTTATTTATAAAATGAAAAGCAATATAAGTAACAGGATTCATAATAATTATTGTTTATACCAATGAGTATCTAAAAAGTTTAATAACTAAAAACAAATTCAATCTAAATTTAACGAATTATGAAAATGATTAATTTGGGCGGCCGCGCCTCAGAGAAAATGTCATGATGATGAATTAGTACATTAATAAAAACTATAAATCAAATTGTGTTAAACCAGAATCAGTTCATTATTAGAAAGGTATGTAATTTACAACTCCTTTTTTTTTTCTAGAAAATGAAATGGAAGGGACAGTGCATGATGTAGATAATATGAAATATTTATAATATATTTGAAATACCTACACTTTACAATAAAATTCTGAAAATTAGCATTTTTACAAAAGAAATTTCATACTCATTCATTGTAAAACCTAAAATATTATTCGACAATATTTTTCTGAATTTTTTTGCCGAATATAAAAGATTTTAAATTATTAAACGGAAACAAACTTTCTATTGGTAGGTATACATACTGTAGCTAGATACCCACTGTTATTAAATGAATAAACACTGTGAAGATTTATGATTGTCAAATATTTAGGTTCTTATAATTTATTTTAATGAATATAATGTGAAAAAATGTCATTGTTTTCCCATGGGTCCCTACTCTCTCGAGGTTTTTAAACTTCCCAATTTTTACATTCCATTATTGTAAGCAATTTTGTGGACAAAAGCGTTTAGAATGTACTAACATCATCATATTCATCATCATTAAAAATGTATTTGAACAAACGAAAACCGCGCGATATATTCAAGTTAAGTGTTACACGCCAAAGACCCGTTACACAGGTGGAATTATTTACAAATAAAATTATTCTCGACTGTTGAGAAACAACGTCATCTAGAAGTAGAAATAAAAGTGGCACAAGACTTACATGTTTGAATTTAAGAAATTCATCACCCACAACTAGGGTCAAAAGGACTGGACACTTAGCAACAATTAAATTATCCACTTATACGTTTAGTCACCAAATGTAAAATAATGTAATTGTTTCTACACACCCACGGCAGAGGAGGAAATTTTTTAGAGTGTACGTGCGGACCGTGACTTCAGCTCCGGCAACGAGGTGGACGCCGATGATGTTAACGACAACGACGAAAAAGTTGTTATAAAGTTTTACCGGTTTTCTGAACGCCAAGAATAATATGAGTTCTGTCTCATGCGGTAATTTTACGAGAGGTTGCGCAGACCTATTCTTTCCGGTTATTAGGAGGGAGGGTCCTGTTTAAACTATCTAAACTTTTACGTGACTTTTACCCTACAAGCAATAATTGTAATTTAATGAAGGGTTGAATGATAAGTATTTATCCGCTAACAAAATGATTCAACTATTTTCAGGAAAAACCAATTACTTACTTACTTAGATGTTCGTTACAGAGCGCGCTCCAAGGCCGGACAACCTGGACATTTGTCCGAGGCGGCAAATCTTAGGGGCGGCATTTTCACTGTCAGAATGTGACAAAATAGTATAAATATTAAAATTAAAATATTAATAATAATAGCATGCCGCCTTTCATTTGTAGAAAGATTCTTATCACTGTTTTTCAAGAAAGTTATTAAAATACTTGTTTTTCATCTACATATATATAGTTGTAAAGAATATAGGTGATTACGAAAAAATAATTATTCAATAATAATTATTAAATAAGGAACATGGGTGTTATTTACACTACCTACTATAACCGCGCATCGCATATATACCATATACGAGGTAAGCGCCAATAATTTCCGGCCTGACAATGAAGGAGGCAAAGTACAACAAGTTTTTATCATTTTTCAAAGTAATCTCCCTTAACCTCCATGCACTTCTTACAACGTTTAATTAACCATTCAATCCCTTTAAAAAAATATTCTTTCGGTTTATCCTCAAAATGGGCCAAAACAGCTTCTTATAACTCAAAATCGTCCCGAAAACGTCCCCTGTGAAGGTCCTTTTTCAAATAACTAAACAAATAATAATCGCTGGGAGCCATAGGTATCTGGACTATAAGGAGGGTGATCTATATTTTGAAACCCGCAATCTAGGATGGCAGCTTGTCCAGCAGTATGAACGGGCGCATTGTCGTGCAACAACCGCATGCCTCTGGTTAATTTTCCTCGACGTTTTTAATAATAATAGTAATAATAATAATAATAATGTTTATTTTACTTCTTACACATATTTTTTTTTTACAAATAAATTCTCTTTTAATGTAAATAAACATGGGTTAGTCCGAAAAAACCATAAGGTTGTGCTCGGAAATTACTCCTGTTTATTAGTAGCGCCATAATTGCTGATAAAAATTAATAATTATAACAATAGACTTAAGATTAATAATAATACCAATATTAATAAATGTAAATATGTGCATTAATAATAATAATAAATAATATACATGAATAATAATAATTAATTGTACTAGCTGGCTGGCAGACTAATGATTAATTAATAATATGAACATGAACATGAGTATAATAAGAGTAGTTAATATTATTAAATTAAATACTTAATACAAATAAATATAACAATAATAATAATAATAATAATAATAATAATGCGTTCTTAATAAATATTATAATTAGTTAAAAAAATTATATAAAAAGAAAAAGCATTAGAATATAACAAAACACAATTTTCAATTTTCAAGAATATGTAAAAACACACATTGACAAATAAAATGTAGAATTAACAAACGAATTGTAAATTATGACAAAAAAAAATGAAAAGCAATGAACAATTTTTGATGACAACAGGAAATCATGAAAATGATTACACTTATTTGGTTAAATTTTATGTTTTTTTTTAATTTTTATTTTTTAGAGATTACTTTAGGTTTAATTTTTATTTAGATGTTTTAGTTTAATTCAATTAAGTCATGAATATTTTGTCGACCAGTATTTATCAAAAAAATTTTGAAGATCTTTTTAATGTAGGATAAGGAATTTATTTTTCTTATATGTATTTTATAGATTTCTGGCAGAAAATTGTATATTTTAGGAGCTAAGAAGGTAAAACATCTTTGTCCTATAGTTTTTTTTAATAACGGGGTCTTAACAAATAATGACGATTGATCATACTTGTGATCAATTTCATGTAATATGATTTCCTTATTTTTAAATGTAAAAATTAAAACTGCATGGCAATATAACTGACGAATATCAAGCAAATTGGCCTCCTGAAAAAGTAGGTCTGTGGAAAAATGAAAAGGTTTTCTTAATAATAATTTTAGAAATCGTTTTTGGAGAGTTTCCATACTCTTTAAGTGAACTTGGTACAACCCACCCCATACAAGTATACCATATTGTAGCCTTGATTCAACGAGTGCATAATAAATGGTTTTTAAGTAATGAACACTTAAAATGGTACTTAAGTATTTAAATTTATAAAATAAACTTCTTAGTGTTTTTGTTATATTTTGTACATGTTTGTCCCACTTTAAATTACAATCTATCGTAATGCCAAGTTACTTAATATCATTAGCTTTTTTTATTATTGTATCCTTGTTATTTATATTGATTGTAATTAATTGATAATCGGGCATACTGTTATTGTAAGCAACAAAGGGAATAAAAAATGTTTTTTCAAAATTAACAGTTAGTAAGTTGTACCATTCTATAATTTTTTGCATATCATTTTCAATTTTTTTTTGTAAATTATCCCATGTTTTACTGCTATAAATTATGGCAGTATCGTCAGCGAAACATAATATCTCACCAGATGTTTCTAAATTGAGTAGGCTATTTACGTATAAGGAAAACAGCAACGGTCCTAAAATAGTTCCCTGAGGTACCCCGTACTCAATATGTAAAACATCACTGTAACAATTCTTGGTTTTTACCGTTTGTGTTCTTTCTTTAAGGTAGCTTGTCATTAATTTGTGTGGTATACCCCTGATACCAAGATCATCCAAGACATCTAACAATTGAGCGTGTGACACAGTGTCAAATGCCTTGGCAAGGTCTAAAAATATGGTAATTGTAGGAATACTCTTATCTACCAAATTATAGATTTTTGATGTTAGTGTTTTTATAGCATCTACTGTAGACACACTTTTTCTAAATCCATATTGATTACTCGATATAAGGTTGTATCTATCTATAAAATTGTTCAGTCTTTTATTTAGAGCTGATTCAAACATTTTAGCTAAGCAAGTAATTAAGGAAATCGGTCTGTAGTTAGAAGTCAGTTTATGGTCACCTTTTTTGTAAACTGGAATTACAATAGATTGCTTAAAGAGTGAGGGACATACTCCAGTTTGAAAAATTCTATTAATTAAATATGCAGTAGGCATTTTTATTTCATCATTTTCCCGAATACATTCCCGCAACTTATGAAGTAATGCGGCATAATATGTGCCATTAACGGTGGTATTTGTCTCTTTAAAATCAATCAGAAGGATTCCTTCACAATCCCAAAAGATCGTAGCCATCACCTTTATCGTTGATTGGCAGACTCTAAATTTTCGTGGAGGGCTTCACCCTTACGACGCCACTCCATTGATTCCCTTTTCAACAAAAGATCATAATAAAGAACCATAGTTTCATCTCCAGTGACTATTGTTTCCAACACGGGGTTCGGATCATCTCCACACAGTTCCAAAAACGATCGAGCACACTCGACACGACGTTGCTTCTGAATCGCCGAAAGGTGTTTGGGCACCCACCTTCCACTAACCTTATGCATACCGAATTAAATGATCATGGAGGATTCGGCGAACAGTGGTATCAAAAAGCTTGGTCATTTATGCCATTTCCTTGACTTTCAAAGTCGGTCACTTAGCACTAGGTTTTCCACAAGGGCCACTTTGTCCTCCGTTATCACCTCCACTGGCCGTCTAGGTCTTTCGTCATCTTCAAGGGATTCCTGACCCATGCGAAAACGTTTTGCCCATTCCTTCACCACCGAATACGAAGGGGAACTTTGGCCATATACGCCATCGAGTCTTTCTTTGATAATTTTAGGTGTAAGCCATTCTTTTGTTAGTGACAATTAAAAACTATTTGTCGTAAGTCGCTTATTTTGTTACCACAGCCTACTAAGGTTTGTAGTTATAAAATGTTAAACTTTTATCCTGATAAAATATCTGCAACTATGTCAGGCCGGGAATTATTGGCGCTTGCCTCGTAAATCAGCAAGTAGGGTGCCGCATGAATGTGTCTGAATTAGGAATAGACAAGAAATGACTTGTTTATTGTCAATTATCAAGGGCTGTCTTATTACAACATAGCAGTGGCGGCTTGTCGTAAAAATTTTAGGGTGTTCTACAATTTTTGCAAAAAAAGCTTACCTTTCAGGGGAGTTGTCTTCTTGGTCAAAGTCCCATCGATTTTATCGTGCTTGCTGAATGATGGATTGCTGGAACGATTTCCACACAAAAAAAAAGAAACACCAAGCACTATTTTACTGTACTCTATTTTCTTCAAGAAAAATACAAAATGTTTAAGAAAATGACGTGAAAAATTTAAACAGATAGTGCGATTTTACAGTCTATTTTTTATAAATTAAGTCTATCCTACGTTCTTTTTGGTCCGCAAATTTTGTAATAACTTTTTCATTAAAATTGTCTATTTCGGAAGTAAACTGTTTTTCAATAGATAGCATGGAAAGAGCTGTTAGACGATCTTCGGACATTGAATTTCTGAGAAACGTTTTGATTCGATTTAGTGTTGAGAAACATCGTTCGGCCTCTGATGTTGTCATAGGAGTTGTTACCACAATTTCTAATAATTTTCTAGTCTCCTTTAACGTATCTCCTAGATTGTTTGATATTAAAATTTTCAGTAGAGATAGTGCGCCATTCAATGCCCTGCAATCATTTCTTGAATAAATAACAGACAGTTCAGATCGCAATCGTTCTTTATCAAGTGTGGGATAAAAAGAGCATGCGGAAGTGAGTTTATCCTCGGGAAATTTACCACAATACTCTCCAAAGCATTTCGAAAAAAAAAAAAGTGAGGCAACTACTAGATGCTCTTTAAAATCAAATCGATCTTTTGCACAATTTAGGATAACGTCACACGCCTCTAAAACAGAAATCCGATGATCAAATCTGCTGTTACTTTGGCGCTTGCGTTTATTTTCTGGTAGCTGGTCGCTTATTATATATCTAATGCTTCAGTAATAATGCTATCAATATTATTTGGAACTTGAGTGATACTGCGT